CAATATTGTTATGTGTGAATTTGATCCTGCCATTTTGATGCTAGCTGGATGTTTTGCCCATTGGTTGACGCATTTTTTTCATTGTGTCGATGGTCTTTACCATTTGCTATGTTTATGGAGTGCCTAGTACTGGTGGTTCCTTTCCTTGTTTAGTTCTTCTTTCAGGAGCTTTTGTAAGGCAAGCCTGCTGGTGACGAAATTTCTCAGCAATTGCCTGTCCATAAAGTATTTTCTTTCTCCTTTGCTATAAAACTTAGTTTGGCTGGATGTGAAATTCTAGGTTGCAAGTTCTTTTCTTTAGTGATGTTGAATATTGGCCCCCACTCTCTTCTGGCTTGTAGGGTTTTTGCTGAAAGGCCCACTGTGAGTCTCATGGGCTTCCCTTTGTGGGTAACCCGACCTTTCTCTTTGGCTGCCCTTAGCATTTTTTCCTTCATTTCAACCCTGGTGAATCTGACAATTATGTGCCTTGGGGTTGCTCTTCTTGAGGAATATCTTTGTGGTGTTCTCTGTATTTCCTGAACTTGAATGGTGGCCTGGCTTGCTAGGTTGGAGAAGTGCTCCTGGATAATGTCGTGAAGAGTGTTTCCAGCTTGGATTCATTCTCTCCATCACATTCAGGTACACTTATCAAACGTAGATTAGGTCTTTTCACATAATCCCATATTTCTTGGAGGCTTTGTTCATTTCTTTTCACTATTTTTTCTCTATTCTTGCCTTCTTTTACTGCATTGAGCTGATCTTCAATCTCTGATATTCTTTCCTCTGTTTGGTCGATTCAGCAATTGAAAGTTGTGTATACTTTGCGAAGTTCTCATGCTATGTTTTTCAGCTATATCAAGTTGTTTATATTCTTCTCTAAGCTGTTTATTCTAGTTAGCATCTCATCTAACCTTTTTTCTAGGTTCTTAGTTTCTTTGCATTGGGTTAGCATGTTCTTTTAGCTCTGAGAAGTTTGTTATTTCCTACCTTCAGAAGCCTGTTTCTGTCAATTCATCAGATTTCATTCTCCATCCATCTTTGATCCCTAGCTGGTGAGGAGTTGTGATCCTTTGGAGGAGGAGAGACGTTCTGGTTTTTGGTGTTTTCATCCTTTTTGCACTGGTTTCTTCCCATCTTAGTGGCTTTATCTACGTGTGGTCTTTGTAGTTGGTACTTTCAGATGGGGTCTCTGAGTGGATGTCCTTTTTGTTTACGTTGAAGCTATTTCCTTCTGTGTCTTAGTTTTCCTTCTAACAATCAGGCCCCTCTGCTGCAGGACTGCTGGAGGTCCACTTCAGACCCTGCTTGCTTGGGGATCACCCACACAGGCTGCCGAACAGTAAGGGTTGCTGCCTGTTTCTTCTTCTGTTATCTTCGTCCCAGAAGGGTACCTGCCAGATGTCAGCCTTAACTGTCCTTTATGAGATGTCTCTTTGGGTATACGTGGGTAGGGGAGCTGCTTGAGGAGCAGTCTGTCCCTTATAGGAGCTCAAGTGCTGTGCTGGGAGCTCCATTGTTCTGTGTAGAGTTGCTGGGCAGGTACTTTTAGGTCTGCTGCAGTGGAACTCATAACCACCTCTTTTCCCAGGTGCTCTATCCTAGGAAGGTCGGCTTTATTTATAAGTTCCTGTCATGCTGCTACCTTTTTTCATAGATGCCCTGCTCAACACAGAGTAGTCTATTCACAGAAGAGGTGTTGCTGAGCTGCCACAGGCTCTGCCCAGCTGCTGTGTCAACTGCCTCGGTAGTGGTGGTCATCCTTCCCCCACTGAGCTGGACCATCCTGGGTCCAGCTGCGCTTGCTGCGAAACTCTCAATCCTGAGCATTTCAGATTGCCTGCTTTGTGGCGGTAGTACCCGCCGAGCCAGATCACCTGGCTCCCTGTCTCTGCCCCCTCCCTCTCCATTGAATGGGCGGCTCTGTCTCCCAGGCATTCCAGGCACCAGTTAAAAAGGCCGCCCAGATTTGTGTGAGTTTCTATGTGCCAACCCAGCACTAGCCGTGCTGAAAACTCGTGGTGCTTTTCCGTCCGGGAATCTCCTGGTCTGTGGGCAGTGAAAATTTGTTTGGAAATGTGGTGGGCGCTCACCCTCTACGTTGTTCTTGATGCACTCCAGAGCTGTTCCTATTCGGCCATCTTGGATCCAGTCAGTTGGAACATGTGTATTTTCAAGTCATTGTTTGGCAGTAACATTTTACAGTATTATCAACTTTGGTCTTTCCCCAAAATATAACCCACAAGGTTATATATATTTTTAATTATTTCTGCTGAAGCCAACTTAAAATGTGTAGGATTAACAAATAGATTTTAAATCAATTTTGGGTTATAGGGCTGATCAGGCTAATTTTATTGTTTTTGTAACCTCAAGAGATGACATTGGATACACACAAAAGTAACCTTTCACCTATCAGAGGTAGCACCCGGAGGAACTGGTTAGTAATTTAGTCTGTAGTTGGTGGCTGCGTTTCCCTGAGCTGTCATCAAACATCGTGTAACAATTATGCTATTCTGGGAGATAGAAACACTGAAAATCCCATTTTCTGGAAGATCGAATGTGAGCCTAACCTGCTCAGATCTGTATCCTGTGTCCCACTATCACCTCCTTGTTAGATTTTAATTTCCCACATGTGAACTGATAGGTGTTGCCAAGGAAGGCGCTTTAAGCCTGATCGGCTTTATGGTACTGAAGTCCTAGAGAGTAAAATCCACATTAAGATCTAGCTGAAGGAAAACTTGACATTGACTTCAGCAAAAACGGAAGATGAAGCCTTGTACTTGCTGTTCCCCTTTCCTTACAAGTCCTCTCTCCTTTTTGCTCCTGTCAAGAAAGGAAAACCCAGAATCATCAAGTACTATGCTTAAATATGTTCTCTGTCGGTTTACAGTGTCCTCCTAAGAGCATATATTAGCTCTTTTGGAAAGAGCACAAACTTGATGAGCTAACTTCTCACGTCGTGCCTGCCTCCCATGGGTCAACTCAACCGTGAACTCTGAGGTGAAGCCCTGAGTTTTCCCTCCTCCAGCTTCCTGAACTCCCATTCCAGGGCAACTCCCTCCCTTCAGGTTCATGCTCTCCAGGCATCCCATTCCCACCTCCCCTCAGCCTCAGTTCCATGCTGGGCTTAGAATGCCCCACCCTTTAGCCATTATGTTTGTTCATCCTACAAAAATGTATTGACTGTTGACCGCAGGGCTGGTCCCAGATACTCCTTAATTATGACAGAACTTCTGTCCTTAGTTTCCCCCACCACCCTGGGCTCCACCTAAGAAGGATGAGGCAACTGGCCCCCATGACAACAGAGATTTAACGCACAGCGTTGGGGAGGTCTAGCGTCTTGTTTTAGAATACTTTAGAATGCAGTAACTCTGGAATGCTTCTTAGTCTCAGCACTTCATCACCCCATGGGTTATTTTAATCTTTGAGCTATGATTATTGGTTTAGGGTAATGTAAATTTGTGTTTGACAAATCTAAGAGGGGAGATTATTGGTGTCTTCTAGAAATGTAGCCCTTACCTCCCCTCGTTCCTTGCAGTCTTAGAAGGGCCTAAGTTATTTTATTTTTATTTTTTTACAAAACTGCACCACTTTAATTAAGCCTTTTAGTTTACATTTGGCCGCCTCAAAGTAGTTATAACATTAGGTTGGTCAATTTAAATACTGTGGCTTCCTGTTGGATAGACACACAATCTTTACATCGAAATGTTAATGCATACAAAGCAACAAGACATTGTTAAATAAAATAGCAATAGCTACTACAAATTAGGCCTGTGACCAATTACATATGATTAAAATTACTTTCTACATTCACATCCACAGGACTCATCCACCATTTAACATCCCAACCAAAACATTGCACATGTGAAACGATCACCCACTGGAAAAATACTAAACCTGTGCGTTTGATATTGCAAGTACACTTATGCATGAGCAAGCAAGGGAGTCACAGTGAGAATCTACAGCTGCAGAAGCCTGAAAATGATTTACAAAAAGTGTTAAATCATTAAAAAAATTGTCTGACAAAGTATTAGTGCTTAAACATTAGTGGCCGTTATGACTTTAGATCTGAGGGAATCATTTGATCAATCTCTTCCTTCTACAGCAGACATTCTGACATGTAGCTCTCAGTGGAACGGGGGGAAGAGAGAAGGAAGTAAAAATATGAGATGTTGTTCCTTGCCAACTGTCCGCTGCCATATCTCTTACATTTAGGCATGTACTTAGCATTGGCTGGGATTGGCAGAGTCTAGTGTGGTAAAATTCTTGGAGGCTGGTACTACAGCTTTCAAAAGCTTCTTGGGGAAAAAAAAGAAAAAGATGATATCTGTGGCTTGGATTTTATAGAATAAAAATGAAGAAAGGTCTTTGAGTGAAAAAAAAATTGTCTGAAAATATACACTTCTTGTCGTAGACCCCCACTGTACACATGACTATAAACATTGTTCCCTATGTAAATAAAAAAGAAAACGTGTAATAAGAGATTTGAAAAGTCTGGACATTTCCTTCCCAACAGATATTAAAGGCAATGTCTTTAAGACATTATACTGAAAAGACTATCGTATTTTAAAGACAAGATCACTGTCTCCACAGGGTTTTTAAAAATTAAAAAACTACATAGCTGTATTAAAGCTCTTACTTTGTACAATAATAATGACCTTAAATTTCTTTTAAAAAAATTGCAATAAGCTACAAGTATCAAAGAAGTGAAGTTATCTAGAGTAGTCTGTAGAGGAGCTCTTTGGACCTTCTTTTATTATGCTAAAATAGTAGTGCTTTTAAGATTTACATTATTGTACTCTCCAATACAAAGTTTGGGGCATGTTGAAGTATACAATACACAATTTTCATACCTGCACAACATTGATGGATGAAGACTGTCTCTTAGCAGTAATGCTAGATGTAGCCTGTGGTTTTACCAGCTGCATACTCTAGGACTATTATGTAAGTAAAAATCTCTCTTGTGACACTGGAAAGTGATTAGAATGTGCAAACCGATAGTAGCTTTCATCCTCCTCTTAAAGGGTACCACCACAGGAAAGTCCGTTTAAGATGTTGGTAGGTTTAACACAGTTGGAATGCTGGCACTATTGAATTGGGCAACAGTTCTTCAGACCTAGCTCAGAGCTGCAATGCATTTAGTATATTAAAGCAGCTGACATGACAACTTTTTGCAAGCCTTGCCAGGCACTGGAGTTTTTCTGTTAATTTGCTGCACTAGGTCATAAAAGATCTCATTAAAATTTATTTTTGATTTTGCAGAAGATTCTAAGAATGCAGAGTTGTTCCATTGTCTGGCTAGATTTTGACCTTGTTTCTTCCCTACAACTCTTTCATCTTCCAAGTGACAATTATTACCAACAAGAATCATTGGAACATCATCAGTGTCTTTAACTGGAAGAATCTGTTCTCTCAGGTCTTGTAAATCTTTAAATGTGGACTGTGCTGTGATGGAATAAACTAACGCAAAGCCTTGTCCATTTTTCATGTACAAATCCCTCATTGCTGTAAATCGTCCCGTTCCTGCAGTATCCCAGATTTCTAGCGTATGCTGCATCTACTTCAATTTGCTTTCTATAAGAATCTTCTGTCATAGGATCATATTTTTCAACAAAAATTCCTTAAAACAAATTGTGCAGTCAAAGCAGACTTTCTAATGCCTCCTGAGCCAAGAACGGCTAGCTTATACCACACGGGATGCAAACTCAAAGCCTAGTACCTCTCACGCTGTCACCATCCCTTCAGCCCCGTGCTCCCTCTGGGTCACTGCTCTTGCCCTGGCCCTGACAGGAGGTCCTGCCGCTGCTGCGCTCCCGCTCCAGCTGGTTTACACGCCTGACTCTGGGCAAGGTTTGGCGGTGTCCAGAAAACCCTACGTTCTATCAAGAAGGAGTTCACAAAGTGGAAACACAGGTCACATCACTCACACACCTTCACACACACACACACACCTGATGCCATTACTTTCAGCTAAAGCATGAGACAAGCCCATGGTCACTTCCTGCCTCAGGATTTCATAAGGTTTTCAACACTGAATAAAGCCAAAATATGTTTTATTTTACAGTCTCATTTAGAATCTCTTGAATACTATCAAACAGGTAAATGAGCTAAAAATTTAAGCTCTAAGATAACCACAGCTCTAGATTCTGTATGGAATAGAAAGCTACATTCAGTAACTTCTCATCACTGCCTTAATAATGCCAGACTATTCCAGTGGGAAGTATCAGTGATTATATCAAGAATTTCTCATGAAGTGTTTGGCTGTGTCATCATACCATGAATTTTAGATGGCTCATCCCAGCTGCAACCAAGAGAACACCCTGCAGTCAGCATTACAGAATATGATGGAATTACTTGAATGTGTAATAGAAATTTCAAATGCTCCACCCTGAACTGGCCATATTTAAATTAAATTTTGAAGCTCATAAACAATTTAGGAAAAAAGAAAATATAAAAGGTAGCATCCCAGCCACAGGGTGAATACTGATTCACTTTTTATTTATTTATTTATTTTCGAGTTGGAGTTTTCCTCTTGTTGCCCAGGCTGGAGTGCAATGGTGCAATCTCGGCTCACTGCAACCTCCACCTCCCAAGTTTAAGCAATTCTCCTGCCTCAGTTTCCCAAGTAGCTGGGATGACAGGTTTGCACCACCACACCTAGCTAATTTTGTATTTTTAGTAGAAACGGGATTTCACTATGTTGGCCAGGCTGGTCTCAAATGCCTGACCTCAGGTCGTCCACCCACCAAGGCCTTCCAAAGTGCTCGGATTCCAGGCACAAGCCACTGCACCTGGTCTTGTGATTCATTTTTTTTTTTTTTTAATGTTTGATTTCTCAGACTTAAGGAAGAAGGGTAATTTGGACTCTGGTTGAGTCACTTTTTAAATGATGGTCTTCCTAAATGACCTAGATCAGTGTCATATCAACCTAGGAGGCATTAGCCGACAATTGAACTGATGACTTCTTGGAGAAACACAGGGTGTGTAGGAGGAGAGCAGCATGACGGGTCAACTGTACTATACTAGGTACTATCTGATGAAGCAGTGCAAAAAATAAAGCAAGGCAATATGTGTGTATTTATATATATTACTAATTACATGGATAGTCCCAGACTCTGCTATAACTATAATGTCCAGCTATAGATAGATATCTTTAAATGTAAGTATCTTTATATACACAGCTATGTGTGGCTGAAGGCAAATTAGTGAAACTGTCCTGTCTCACCTCTTTGCTTAAACTGAACTCTTCTGAAATGATTCCAGACAAATGCCTAAAGATCTTTAGGGAAGCAGATATGACAGCCTCTTAGTATTTTTTAAATATTAAGGCTATCAGTCAGCGCTAAGGGCACAGCCATCCTAAGCTTTACCACTTATAGCTGTGTGACCTTAAGCGGGTCTTTTAACCCTTCCCAGCCTCAGTTTTCTTATCTGTAAAATGGGGATTAAAGATAGTGCTTTCTTTGTGCAGTTGTTGAGAGGACTGAATGATGCATGCCAAACTGTTAGCCTTGGTACTTGGTTAATAATGGGCATCCTGTAAACGTTTGCTATTGTTATTATAGTAGGGCACCAAAATGAAATGTCTGGGCATTAAATTGCTCATTTAAATGTTTTCACAAGGGGGCCAGGTGTAATGGCTCATGCCTGTAATCCCAGCACTTTGGGAAGCTGAGGCATGCAGATCACTTAAGGTCAGGAGTTTGAGACCAGCCTGACCAACGTGGTGAAACCCCCATCTCTACTAAAAATACAAAAATTAGCCAGGTGTGGTGGCGCATGCCTGTAATCCCAGCTACTCAGGAGGCTGAAACAGGAGAATCACTTGAACTGGGGAGGCAGAGTTTGCAGTGAGCCAAGGTCACGCCACTACGCTCCCGCCTGGATGACAAAGCAAGACTTCATCTTGAAAAAAAATTAAAAATACAATGAAATAAAAAATAAATGTCCCCACAAGGGTCCTGAAGAAAACTTGCAGGTAGCTTTGTGCCAGTCACTGCTCAAACTCCTATCTCACGAGCACTGAGTCAGGGCACGCAGGCATCACTGCGAAGGCTGTTTTCCACAGCTGCGGTTATCATGCATCTTATTCTCTTTCTTTGTTCCAGCTTCCAAGGCTGCCCTAGATCACAAAAGAAACGAACCAGAATCAGAAGGAAACCAGCAAAGACTGGAGTCCTAGATTCAAGGCCTCAAGAGCCCAGCAGTTTACAATATTCTGGATCTAAAACATGCCCTTGGGCCTCCCTTCCAAATGCAACAATCTCCTATTGACTAAAATATAAGATGTGAAGGTCTTGGGCCCCTTTTTGGTCACCCTGTGCTCCTTGTGCATTGAATTATCATGTTCCAGCATTGGTGGCTATAGCCTGGTGGCATTTATTAAGCATTTCAAGAGTCTAGATAGCAGCCCCTCTTCTGTGGGGGAGCTGCCCTTCTCAAGGAGCTTGCTCACAGAGGCCACAGCTTATGAGTACTTTCTCCAAGCTCAGTGATGCTTGACAAGATTGGCAGTCCTGGGCTTTAAACTGCCATCTCTGACATGCAGCGAGAGTCCTGCAGATCATAGCGACCTCCCACCAGCTGCCTTGTCCACACTTCATCACCCCCACACACATGCCCACTTTGCACTCTGGCCTGACAGAGTGATTTGTACACAGGTGTCCAGGAGGCGGTGGTGAGCTGCTTGAACAAACAGACTCGGGAGCCTGCTGATGAGAACCTGTGCGTGACCAGCCGCCGGCCCCCACAGCTCCTGAAATCCTGCAATTTGGATCCCTGCCCAGCAAGGTAAGGGATATGTGGCCTGCCCTACTTTCCAGGGGCATGCACAGAACTGGGTGCATCCTTCAGTGGGCAAGACTGAAATACTTATTGTTACTTGATGTTTTGAAAACCAATTAGCATCAGTTCTAACTTTTAGTCAAATCCACTTAAGCTTAATTGAAACCAGGGCTTTGGAATTCCAGCCCAATCAATGGTCATTGCCAGAGTCTGGAATATACCGTGCATTGACATGAGCCTGTGGCAAGGCTGGTATATGTGTGTGCCACGCAGTTGCTTTCTCCCAAAGGGAACATGAGCTGACCACGGACGTCATGGGCTCTGCCACCTTTTAGCCTGTGTCCTAAGCACTCACACTATAGTAATGAACTGGTCTGTGAATTGCAGAATAGAAGGACCTGAAGCATCTGGGTGGTACAGCTGATCCACTGTGAAATCTATATGCAAACACCATGCAGATTCATTAGAGCAGGCTCCGGGGGTGTGTGTGCCATTCCACATGCATAAAATCAATTAGAGCATTTCATTGTTCAGCCCTCCCTGGGTCTCATTATTACCCAATCTTGAGTCACAGCCTTGATTGAGTTAAGCAATCCAATCACTGCTTCAGTCCATACAATTTTATGGTGTCTTGAGAAACTTGCCTTTTAGATATTTATTTTTCGAGCAAACCTCATCTATAGTTCTGGCTTGGAAGGGAGATCTTTAAGAACCAAAGCCAGACTTTCAAATCTGCTGATGGAATGAAGAAATGTTGCCGAATAGGGTCAGATCCTTGATGAAAAGGGGAATGCTGATTCTGAATGATAGTTTTTCTGCCAAGTGTGTCACCTAAGAAGCAGTTAATACCTGTATTGCTTTCAGGCATTAACCATAGTTTGCTGGTCACACTGATGCACTGCTTGTATTATTTCTCAGCTGGCTAGATTCCTTTCTTTGGGTCTTGGAGGATACAGATCATAGTCCTCCTCCAATCAGATGGAGGCACATCCCATGGTGACACTTCTCCTGCTAGTCACCAGAGTTGTTCTGTATAATGATCTGAATGGTGGACCTGGGCATCCCCTCTTCAAATACAGAAGGGGGCAACTAGTGCCGTCTTCTCCAAGGCAACCAGAAAAATCAGTCAGCCACTGCTTTGGAGAAGCACGCCACCCATGAGAACAGCGGTTAGCAAGATAAGAGTCCAAGTCAGGTCCATTACATGAAAACCTGAGTAGCCTTTCTCTATCTCTGTCCCACCTGGTTCCACATCTCTATCCCAACTCCACAGCTCTCTAGTTGTTGAGCCTAAGACTAAGTGCGTGGCAAGGGGCACAAACTTTTCTATTTGACTATAGTCCCGTCATCTAGGAAGAGGCAGTGTCGATTCAGCATGGACAGCCTGCAAGGTTCTTGGTTAAGCCACCAAGAGGCCTGGTTTCTCATCCTCCTGTCACCAGCTAGCTCTGTGGCCCAGGGCTAGGAGTCTGCCCTTTATGTTTCCACATCTGCAAAGTGAACTAGTTGTATATGATGATCTGAGGTCACCATGACCTGCTCACATGTCCCGTGATTCTTTGTTTTGTAGGCGGAAGCATTAAACAGCTACTCCTAGTGCTGTGTGCTGATCATTGCTGTAATTTCTGTTCTGCTTATTTGTCGTTATTTGAAAAACTTGCAAAATGGTCTTTCTAACTGCATTCCCATGTTGTAAAAATGCCCAAATGCTGAGGCAGTGCCGAGGAGTTGGTGCCTGGGACTTGCTGAAAACTGCTGGTACTCGTGGTTTCCAAACCCTTCTTTAAGCAGCAAAAGGAATAGGACATGAGATGTTACTTCTCATTCTCAAAGTACTAACTATGGTTAAGTTAGATAAGGTTAGGTTATCCTGTGACCTTTTTGTTGACTCACAGACAAGGACTGTTGTTGAGCTTAATGTTGCTGCATTTGCTCCAGATAAACTCAGTTCTCTGATTTCTCACCAGCCAATGTCAAGCCAACAGGTAAGACCTCTCACTGGGCACAGCCAGGAGTTTCTTGGGTTACCCATACGCATTTGAACATTTGTAGAATGTTGCTAATTACAGTAATAAAGGGGCCAAAGTATAATGGCCTGATCTCATCCAAGAGTCAAAATAGATTTTCACCGTAAAGGTCATCAATGTATAGAGGTGCCTTTCCTGTGAAATATCTCAGTCTGACGTCAGAGAAAAATCTCCCTTCCCTTCTCCTGGTGTTCAATATATACAGAAGAGAAAACATGTTTCGTAGGAGCATAATAGTGTGTTGTTTTCCCACATAACCCACAAGCTCTGTTCTGTTGAGAGCAATTTAGATCTTTAATTCACAATTCTTATTCCACATGGTTCAGTGTTCCCTGTACATTGTTGTGTGTCTTCTGATGGGATGCAAGTTTCTAGGCTGTGTCCTTTGGGCTCTTAGTCTGTGCTGCTATGCATGTGTTTAAAGAAATACCATAGCATTTTCTGTGGGGCATAACGACATTTCAAGTCTTGGTCACTGGGCCTTTGTCTCTAAGAGGTCACCCCCTGGTTAAGATAAACAGCTTTCCCAGGCAGTTGTTAGGCTCACTGAACACCGGTTAGGAAGCCCCTTTTTTTCCTGTATGTGGTCAGAGTTATGAGATCACATGGAGAATACCAGAGGTCCCAGAGGGCAAGTCCAATCTGTGTAGGCAGGCTTTCTAAGATTAAACTTGGCTTCTCTTGACTCTGTGTGATGGCAAAGTTTGTATCAGAAGCACATGCCTAACTTTCACCGGGTTTAGGCAGATACATCCTCATACCTGGTTATTCACCACGGGAAGATGTTTTCTCGAGCTGAAGGTATTCTGACTGTTCCAATTTGTGTGTGTGCATGTAGTGCCTACATTTTTTTAGAACACTTTAAAAAATAGTCATTTTCTGTTTGAAGAGTCCTAGATTTTAAAGTTCTTGCTATCAGCTTTATGTCTGAATCCTCCATTCTATATTTCTGACACCTAGCATAATGTCTGACACTTAGCGAGTGATTAAGTGTTTATTATATAAATAAGTATGAAGTACCAGGGACAAATTTATAAGTAGCAATGTGTGGACCATATTATCAATGACAACTGGGAAGACCTCAATGCTTTCTCTCCTCTGCATCCTCCTTATCCCTTCTCTCCCACCTTCCAGATGTCGTTGATCTTTCCTTAAGCTTAAGGCTTTAAATATCAACATAAAACATAAAGATCCTCAGGGTTGAACCTTTTATGTTATCATGCATGTATGGCAAACTATCCCCCAAGTAAGGAGACAAAGACAGGCTTGAATGGAAGAGAGGCACAGGTGGAGGCTGAGTAAGTTATAGGCATTACCCCGGGAGGAGTATGATTGTCGGGAAAGATGGAAAGTAGTATATGGAAGACAGATGTTAATCCCTTCACAACTTTGCTTAAGATTGACCATAAGAAATTAGGACCATTTTTGGTTGTGAGCTGCCAATGAGAATTTTTCATCAAAGTTATTGAGTAATTCATGTGTCCAGAAGTTATACCATCCACCCAGTCCTTCAGTGGGAAAACCAGCTCAAGGGAGAAATAGCCAAAAAGGACCTAAGATTGGTCATTAAAAAAGAAGTCAGCCTCCTGTTCCTAATAAGGAAGTTTTCCATGTTATAGTTATACAAGGAATACATGAATATTCTCATTCTTTAAAACTGAAGCTCAGCAGAAGTAATAAAAGATAAAAATAAAGGTACACACTCCCCTTTCATTACTATATTCTTCAGCTTCAGTTTCTTCTTTTTTTTTTTTTTTGAGACGGAGTTTCACTCTTGTTACCCAGGCTGGAGTGCAATGGCGCGATCTCGGCTCACCGCAACCTCCGCCTCCTGGGTTCAGGCAATTCTCTTGCCTCAGCCTCCTGAGTAGCTGGGATTACAGGCACATGCCACCATGCCCAGCTGATTTTTTGTATTTTTAGCAGAGACGGGGTTTCACCATGTTGACCAGGATGGTCTTGATCTCTTGACCTCGTGATCTACCCGCCTCGGCCTCCCAAAGTGCTGGGATTACAGGCGTGAGCCACCGTGCCCAGCCCAGTTTCTTCTTATACCCAGAAATAGCCATGGTTAATGCTTTGCTACATACACTTCCAGATATTTTTCTATGAATTTATATGCATATAAGAACATATACAAATAGTTATGGCTTTTTCCCTTTATAAATGGGATCTTACTGTGTATATTGTTGGGAAACTTGATTTTGTTACTTAATATTATGCACTAAAGATCTTTTACATCCCTGAGACACCAAAATTAAATGACCAACACATTGATGTAGACCTGCTCTGTCACTTTCAACTATCTGACCTTCAAGAGGCCATACACCTTTTGAATCCTCAGTTTTCTCCTCTCTAAAATAGGAATGCAGTAGGCACTCAGAAAAAATCATTTCCTTCTCCTTTCTTTTCATTTTTGGTGAGAAATACTTCTAGTTTAAACGAAAACATGATTTTTAAAAAATTTAGGCCTTAAATTTAATTAGATGTTTTTATTTAACTAAAGTCTTAATAATTAAGCTTTAGGCTGGGCGCGGTAGCTCACGCCTGTAATCCCAGTACTTTGGGAGGCCAAGGCAGATGGACCGCTTGAGATCAGGAGTTCAAGATCAGCCTGGACAACCTGGCAAAACCCTGTCTCTATAAAAAATACAAAAATTAGCTGGGTGTGTGGAGGGGTGTGCCTGTAGTCATAGCTACTTGGGAGGCTAGGATGGGAGGATACTGAACCCAGGGAGATCAAGTCTTCAGTGAGCTGCAATCACACCATTACACTCCAGCCTGAGTGACAGAGTGAGAGACCGTGTTTCAAAAAAAAAAAAATTAAGCTTTAGCAACTGTCTCCCTGGTTTACAATAGCACTGACATGAGCAGCCCAAGGAAAAGCAGAAAGTACTACCTTTTAAAAAAAAGTATATGACTGTTATTAATTATAAGCATTTGATAGCCTCACCAGTGTGTGTTGAAAAGATTTGGTAA